TAGTAGTCCTGTGTCCATTTGTAGGTAACTATAGTATATGGTGTGATATGCTGATTTAAATTGCATTTCTGCGAACCTGCTTTCCAGTTTTCCCTGCAGTTTTGTCAAATAGCAAGTCCTTATTCCAGTCGTTTGGATACTTGGGTTTAACAATTTATCATTACTATGTTCATCTAAGTTTTATTCATGTAATATATTTCACTGATGAATTTTCTATTTCTTTCTAGCCAGTACCAATTAATTTTTTGATTATTGCTTTATAAAACAGTTTGTCTTCTGGAAATGCTATTTCTTCCTCATCCCTGCTTTTTCTAACTTCCTAGATATGAATGTAATATGATTTTTTTCCTTCAAATGAGTGTTGTTATTATTTTTTATCATTTTATAAATTAACCCATTGATTGGGATGGCACTGAATAAATTAACTTGATAATATTGTCATTTTTATTATATTGGCAGGCTGATCCACTGTATTTCTGTAAAGAATGGTTTGTTGTTATATTTTTATAATTCTCTTTCTTCCTTGGTAGGTGGACTTCTGAATATTTTTTAAATTCTGTAACCAAATAGAATGGAATCACTCTGTCTCTTTCTTATGGGTTTCGTTGATAATATACAGGAAATCTGATTATTTATGTGGATTCATTTTAGGTCCTGCTACTTTTTTGAAGTTACTATTTCAGTGAACTTTTTTTAGTTCAATCTCTAGGATTTTCTAAGTGAAACATCATATAATCTGCAGAAATCAATAACTTTAGTTCTTCTTTGTCTATGCTTATTCCCTCAATTTATTTTCATATATCATTGCTATAACTGTCACAGCCGGTATGATATAAAACATCATGGAAACAATGGACATCTTTGCTTTATTTCTTATTTTACTGGAAAGGATTCTAGTATTTCTTCATTGCTGATGAGAAGTTTAAAATTGATCTGTTCTAATTTATTTATTGACACTATTTACAAGTAATTGATTTTGTCCTGTAACTGTTTAAATCACATTTCTTTGTCTGTGAACTTGGTTAAGAATTCAACTGGCCTGCAGTAGGTTAAGATGAAAAAATCCAGCTCTCCCACTCAAGGAATTTAACTGGTTTTAGAGAATATGTGTGAACAGAAAAGGAGTTTGGACCTGATATCTTTAATTCACCCAGCTATCCTTCAAGGATGTCTGGTTTCCTGTGCAAAAAGTCTGAGCCACTATCTCACACCTGCCCTCAGACAATGAGCACCTCTTAGTCTCATGAGAGAACGGGGGTGGGGGGGGGGGGGGGGGTGTCATCACTAGCTCCCATTACCAAACTTCCAACCAATCTTGTTCCCTGAGCGCCATCTCTGTAACCAATCCTGTTGTCTTTAATCCCATGATGTCATCTACCCTGTTCTGTTCTTTGTTCTGTCCTCCCCAAAACCTATATAAGGGGAACTGTCCTTTACTGGGGTCTTTGTCATTAATAGAGGCAATACATTGACCCCATTTATTGACAGGTGGCATGCCCCTGCTAATAAATGTTATCTTGCTCAGAGATCTGCTTCAGTTTGCCCTTTTGTTAAATTCCAATCACAACACTGATAATCTTTGCTCTTGGTTTTAGATAACTACTATTTATAAGAAATAGTACATGTCTTTTATTCCTATGCTTTTTAATTTTTTTAACATCAAGTGGTATTATTTTGTCAAAAGCTTTTTCTGCATCTTGGTAATCATGTGATTTTAATTTTTTTCTTATTAATATTATCTATCATGTTTTTAGTTTTCTTAATATCAAGCCTGCATAAATGCTGTAAATCCAATAGGATCATGTTATATAATGTTTTAAATATGTTGCTGTAGACTCTTTGTTAGCACTTTATTGAATATTTTTGAATCAGTATCTGTTGAAGACATTGGTCTATAGTTGGTTTTTTCCTGTTTTTTCTCTCCCTGGTTTGGGCATCAGGACCATATTTGTCTCATGGAAGGAGTTTGGTAGGATCCTTTTTCTCCCTGTTTTTGCAAATAGTTGATACAATATTGGAATTCATTATTCTTTTAATGTTTCATTGAATTCACTTTGAAAACCATCTAGTCCTGGAGATCTTTCCTTTGGAATTTACTTTTTGATTTATTCAATTTCCTTTTTCTGAGATTGAGTAATTTGAATTTTCTGTTTCTTAGTCTGTTAATTTAGTTGTTATATATTTTTGTAAATATTCATCCATTTCATTTATCTGTTGACATATTAATGAGCAAAAAATGTTTTGATGCTTTCTTTTATTTCTCCTTTTTCATTTTTGATAGTAGCACTGATTTTTTTTAGCAATCACTTATCTATATTTATTAATTTTTTGCTAAACAAATCCCTCACTTTATTTAACAATTCAATAGTTTTTTTTAAAAAAAAATTTTGTTTCTCTTCAGTTTTCAGAATTTAATTGGCCTTCTCTAGGTTTTTGTTTTTATTGTTGCATGGCCAGTTTATGGATGTGTTCTTTTTTTTGTTGATAGAAGTGTTTCTAGATATCCCCTAAATATCTTGTTTGGCTACAACTCAAAGTTTTATTATGCTTTTTCATTATTGACATTTTGTCAAATTATGAAATTATCTTTTTTGTTCTGTAGAAGTAAATTATTTGGTCTCCATTTCAGTTTGATTTCTTACTTTAAAGTCCATGACTGTCTATGCATTTATTGTATTGTGGTCAGTGAGGGCTATATTCAATATTTTCCATTCTATTTTTTCCCCAATTACACATGAAGGCAATTTTTAACATTCCTTTTTCTTTTTTTCAAATATTGAGTTCCACAGTAACAGCAACATTGTGCAATGATCCACTGTGATAGACATAATTCTTCTCAGAAATACAGTGATCCAAGACAATTCCATGAGACTCGTGACAGAAAATGCTATCCACATCAAGAGAAACAACTAGGGAGTCTGAATGCAGATCAAAGCATACTATTTTCACTTTTTTTGTTTGTGGTTTTTCTCTTTGGTTCTGTTTCTTCTTTCATAACTTGACTAATGTGGCAATATGTTTACATGATTGTACATGTATAACCTATCAGATAGCTTGCTGTCTTGGGGAGGGGGAGTGCAAGGGAGGGAGAAAAAATTTGGAACTGAAAAATCTCATAAAAACGAATGTAGAAAACTATCTTTACATGTAATTCGAAAAAACAAAATACTATTCCAAAAAACTTTTTGAGTTCCAAATTTTCTCCTTTCCTTCCTTCCCTCCCCCCTCTAAGACAGGAAGCAATTTGACATAGGTTATACATGTGCAAACACAATCCACTTTTTTAAAGGTGCTATGAATAGGTGAGAAAGCATATTGCTTTCTATTTCCAGTACATAAATCATTCAAGAAATGCATCTAAGAAATTTTGGTGTGTTGTCTCATCACTGTCATTATCTTGCATAATTATTGTTTCTATGATTTGTTCTCTGAGCTATTTGTTATTTAGGATTCATTATTGTCCCAATTTTGCCTCAGTGTTTTTTGGTTGTGCTTCCTCAGTTGATTACTATGTTTATTGTATTATGGTCTGTAAATGTTTTTAGTATTATATCTATTTGAAATTTCTTTCTTACTTTCTTGTAAAAAAAATGCCATCTAGTGCTCAGAAATAGTGGTTCCATTTAGGAAATGTTATAAATCTTTTAGCTATAATTTGTTCATTTTATACATTATTTTTTCTTTTATTTATATTTCTTAGATTTGCACAGCTCAGAAAGGAACATCAAAGTCTCCTACTATTACTGTTATTATTAGTATCTTTTTAAAAATTCAATTAATTTTTCCTTTATGAATTTAGATGGTATGTGACTTAGTGCATATAAATTTAATATGGATAGTGGTTTGATGTCTATGTTTCCTTTAAATATAATTTAATGTCCTTGTTTGACTGTAATGATATTGTGAATATTTACTTTTGCTTTGTGGAATAGCATAATTCCAGCATTTGCTTTTTTGCTTCACCTGATGCATACTCTGTTTTGTTCCATCTTCTCATTTAGCTCCTATACAAGTCTTTGGTTTTCATTTGTTTCTGGTCAATAACAGAGTTTTGGGAAGGAAGGGTTTTCTTTTATTGTCCAGTCTGCCACCCTCTTTCTTTTTATTGGAATATTTAGTCCATTCACACTTAAAAGTTATGAGTTAGGTTTATGGTTTCTTCTATTTGTGTCTTTAGAACTGATATGTTTGTTTTAAAGATTTATGATTCTTTCCTCTTTTAAGTTAGTATTTTGTCCCCAGAATTGGTGGAATGTATATTCTACTCTAAGAATTGTTCATAATGATGGCATCTCAGTTCTGGACAGAACAACAACAATAAATGACACAAGGTCTGTCAATCCACCAATAAGCATTTATTAAGCCCCTGCTATGTACAAGGCTTGTGATAGGTGTTGACAGAGCACTGGTTCAGTAGTAGGAGTACCTGAGTTAAAATCTCACTTCCGATGTTTATTTGGGATGATTACTTTACATCTGCAGGCCTTGGCTTCCTCATTAGAAAAGTAGGGAGTTTGGATGCTTCTGAGGTCCCTTCCAGCTGTAAAGATATGATCCTGTGAAACCCCAAAGTGAGACAGTTCCTGCCCTCAAGGAGCTTATATTCTACCAGAAATGCAAGTTGAACAAAGCCCTTTATGAACATCAGCTGTTATCACTGCCATTTTTCTGTAGCATGTTAAGGGTTGTATGTTATATATAAATTGGTATTTATTCCTCTTCTGAGCAAGATAATACCTAGAGTATCCCCATTCAACAGATGAGGACATTGAGCCCCAGGGAGCTGAATAATAATTACTAATTTATAGAGCATTTTACAGGGTGTGCAGGTATGCATCTGGGGGAGCCTTGAATAAGTTGTGAAGCTACCTGAATCAGACCAATTCCTTGACTACATAGGGAAATCCTCATCTCAAGTTCTTAGACACCATCCCACCAAGGACCCAACCAACCCCAGGCCCCAGAAGAGCCCTGCTCATAATTCACTCCAGGACACTCTCTTGTGCAAAACTTGCTTTTATTCCAACAGGACAGGACAGAGCTGGTCTTGGCCCTCACCCTTCTCAACAGTAGGAGCAACAGGGCAGGCAGCCAGAGGTCTCACATCCAGGAAGGAGGCTAGAAAACCATGGATTCAGAGAACAGGGACAATTTGGAAGACAGAGCTCAGGCTACAGCAGGTTAAGGCAAAGGCTGGCTGATGGGGCCGAGAGCATGGGGATAGCCAGCATCAGTGAGGGGGCCTCTCTCCACCACCATGGCTGGAGCTAGCGGAAATAGTTGGGACATTTGTGGGTGACGAGGTTCCAGGCTTCGTCAAAGGCCTTCACCACCCCAGGCTCCAGAGGGCCCTCCTCTGCTGCTGCCAGGTTCTGCTGCAGCTGTTCCAGGCTGGTCATGCCCAGGATAATGGCATCTCCACAGGCACCCTGTCAGGAGAGGAGGGAGAAAGCAACTATGTGTGCAGGTTGCATATCCTTATGACTGGAAGAGTCACAAAGGCAAGGAACGTCTTACTGTTAGTATCTCCTCCAGACACAAAAGTCTATCATCTCATTAGCACCAATATTCTCCCATTGCTGCTCTGGGGTTACTAATGGTAGACCACAATCTATGAAGACCCTCCCCCCCTCCCCCCCGCCATTGCTGGCCTTTCCCCCTTTCCCCCCACCCCACCCACGGTAAGACACAAGGTGGGCATAAGTAGGCTTCAGCATGTAACCAAGGAGGCTTGTGCTCAAGATGATCTGACCTTATTTTCCAGACATACATCTCATTATTCCACACTTCCCACCAAACTGGATGGTTTTGTATTTCCCAACCTGATTTTCATCTCTCATCCCTCTTGCCTTTGCTTGGTCATGTAGCATGTCTGGAATAGTCTCCCTTCCACCTCCTAGCATCATCAGCTTCCTTCCAGGCTCAGCACCAATACTGCCTCCTCCTGAAAGCCTGCCCTGCTCTTCTTAACTGTTACTGCTTTCTCATGCTCACATGATCATGAGGTTACTCATCTATGCATCCTACCCTTCATTAGATGCAACTCCTGGAAGGCAGGGAATATTGTTCCCTTGTGTGTCTGAATTCTTAGGGCCTCAAGCAGTGCCTGGCATGCAGCAGGTGCCCTATCGATGCTCGCTGAATAGAACTCAAAAGTACAGCCATACAAGGAGATGGTAGAGCAACCAGTGAGTAGCAACAACCAGACAATCCCAGTGGGCCCCCCTCCATGCCCAGGGACTATTTTGCAAACCCAGAAGGAGGCAGTTTCCAGCCCATAGTGGGTGAGTCTTCTTTGTAACTTGGACAGCAAGAAATGAACCCAAAAAATGAACCAGAAGGGGAGGGAATTCACCAGGGAACATGGCAGCTCCAAAGCCATCCCCAAACATCTCCCCCAACACCACACACTTCACCTTGTTCCTACCGTAGTGGGTAGTGTCCAGAATCACACACAAACAGCTACAAAGGACCTCAGAGACCATGAAGCCCGTCCTCCTCCCTCCGTACAAGTGAACTGAGTTTGAGAGAGCTGAAGTGATTTGCCACAGGCCAGAGATGTGGAGGAGGTGGAGCCAGGGTCCGCACTGAGGTTCTCTGCACGGAAACTCAACACACTTTCTACTCTCATTTAACCTCCAAACGATGCTCGGACTGAATCATCATTTGCTGACTGCCTGCTATGTGCATGACAGTGGGTTCTGTGCTGAGGGCATGATGGCATGGTGGCACCTGGACCCCATAAAAAACCCTAAGATCATGTCTCTGGAAGCCTCCCAATTTCACAGCAGGCTCCTGCCCTGTGAGAAAATTTTCTCTTGTTGCTGAACACATTCTCTTATCAGAACAGACACAGGGGTGCCTGGCCCAAGGATTTTTGTCCCTGGCTGGCCCAAGGACTGTCCCTTGTGCCAGATCCCCAAGGTCAACGCCTCTGGCAGCTAAACCAAAAAAACTCTTTTCTCCCTCAATGCCTGATATCAACAAAGTTATCTCTGCAGACTGCCTGCATCTTCCCATCCATAGATTATAGGCGCCTGCTCCCAAAGACACCTGGACCCCTGATATATCCCTTGAAGTCCCTAGATTACCTAATTAGCATCCTTGTCCCTTTCCCATATAAGCCCCAGCACCATCCTCACTAGCTCATAGGTTCCCTAAGGACTCTTTCCCGCTTCTATTGGCATCAATAAACTTTTTGCCACTTGACTCAGAGAAGGCTTGGGTATGTGAATGCACTGCAGGAGACACCTCTTCGGTATTCTCAGCGTCCCAGCAAACCTTTCAGGAACACAGAAGGCTTACAGACCCAGTATCCCTCTTTACAGGTTTATAATCTAGTTGGATCAGAACTATAATATTATCTCACATTTATAGAGCACCTTAAGGTCTTCACAGCACTTTACCCATGGTATCTCATCTGATATGGCAACAACGCTAGGAGGTAGGGGATATTATTATCCTCATTTTAGAGAAGAGGAAACCAAGGCAGACAGAGGTGTAGTGACTTGCCCAGGGTCACACTGCTAATAAGTCTGAGGTTGGATTTAAACTCAAGTCTTCCCAACTCCCAGTCCAATGCCCTATCCTTTGTGCCAATCTAGCTGCCTCTCAGATTTATCATCAAAGCCTAAGATGGAAATGTCTAAAGTTTTGGAAGGAAAGCAATGGGGGCCAGAGGAAGAGGGACACTCCTCTGCTCTGGCCCAGAAACAGGAAAGTTAGGTCAAGGAAGGCTTTCTCTTTGCCTTGTGCCACAGAGAGCCCTGGGCTCTCCAAGTCAGCACCAGCGAGATGAACAACCTCAGACAACTCCTACCTAGCTAGAAAGGCTGCGTCCTAGGCCTGATATGGGCCTTGGACACAAGCCTTCCTGACTGTGAGGCCAGCTCTCTATCCACTCTGACCAGCCACTGTCATGGGTCATTATGGTTGAAGGAAGGTATAGATAAATAGAAAAAAATCAAAGGCATGTGGGAAGACTCTAAGGTGATTTTCAGAAGCAGTTCCATGGCCCAGAGGATAAAGTACTTGGTCTGAACTCAGGAAGACCTTATACTTAGAAGCTGTGTGACCCTGGACAAGTCACTTCACTGCTGCCTGCCTCAGTTTCCCCAAAGGTCAAATGAGGATAAGAATAGCACCAAACTCCCAGGGTTATTACAAATGAGAGAATATTTGAACAGTGCCCAGCACAGCATCTGGCACACAGTAGGTGCCTTATAAATGTTTGATTCCTTCCCCTTCAGAATGAAGAAAACTGAACCAGTAGGTCGAGAGAGAGCTTTTGTGTACAAAGTGTAAATTACAAAAGAATCCCTTATCCAAGTAGGAGTTTCAGGAAGTATGCTTTGTAGTGTCATTAACCAGTTGTGTTCAAACAATATTTATCCAATTTTGCTAAAAAGCCCATTGGATCAAGGGCCAGAAAAAGTGAACAGAGACATTTCTATGAAGGAAAGGACATGTCCTCGAAATAATGCCAAAGCTGAGAATGGGCCCAACCTCCTAAAGGGCTCAAGACCCCTGGGGACGGGTGGGTTCCTGGGGCCCCTGGGGCATTACCTGGAGCTGGGAGTGATGGTACATCCACCTGAGGGCTGCTGAGGTCATACTGGGAGGGTTGGCCCCATAACATGCCACCAGGGCTTTCTTCACAAGATCAATGGCTTTAAAGTGATGTTTCTTCCAGTAGCTGTGTTGAATGGGCAGAGAGGGAAGTTCAGTGGTCAGTGCCCCCCAGGCTGGCCTCAGCAGGGCCTGTGTGGGGGCTCACCTTGGCAGAGAACCCAGGCTCCCAATCACAGGAGCCCTGACAGAGTTAGGCAGCCCAGGCCAAGTTACAGTCCTGGCTCCACCAGCCACTACTTGCTGGGTGACCACAGGTACTGTCCACTGCAAACCTCCAAGTGGGGCTGCACCTCCCCAGTGAGGATCCCAAAGCACCCAAAGTGACCTTTGTTTATGCTCAGCTACCACCCCATGAACGATTCATGAGTGCGAGACGGAGGCCGTGGGCACACGTTATCTGAGCCCTTCATTCCTCTGGGGTCACGTATTCCCATAATCACCCATCTCATCCCATGTGGCACTCTACGAGGGCCCATTTTAGGACTGGCTGCCACATTCTGGGAAGGACACTGAGAGAGTCCAGAGGAAGGTGAGGCCCCTCCAGGCCATGGCAGACACTCAAAGAAGGGTTTAGGGAACTGGGGCTGCTTGGTCTAAACTTGGGGGCAGTTGGGAAGGCAGAAGGGCACCTGTCATACATGTGAGGGCCTGTCCTGTGGACGGTTCCAAATAGGTCAATTTTGTCTCAGTGTCAGGAAACCCTTCCTCATAATGAGAGGGGCCCAAAAGGGTAAGGGGCTGCTTGAGCTTCTCAGGGATGGTTTCAAGGGGGCTCTTGTTCATGTTCGAGTTGGACCAGATGCTCTCAAAGGTCCTTCTAACTCTGAGATATGAGATGGTTTTCTGAGAGGTGGGCCAAAGGCTCATACCCATTTTACAGATGGGGAAAGGAAGACTCAGAGATGATGCCTCATCCAAGGTCCTAGAGCTACTTAATGATGAAAACAGACCTAGATTTCCAGGTCAGCATTTTTTTTTCACCATCTGATAAGCAAGTCATCTCTAAGGCAAGATGTGAAGTTCTGATTAAGCACTAGGGACTCCTAATTCCAGGCTCAATTCCTGCAATTCTGGCCATGAAGGTGAGCTCAGAGAGGCAAGAGAGATCTCAAGGGGAGATTGGTATGGCAGAATGAACAATGCATTTGGAGCCAGAAGACTCAGGCTCACATGTGAGGGCTAGCTGCCAACTAGCTCTGTGACAGTCAGTCTCTTCATCTCTCTGTGCCTCAGTTTCTCAATATGTAAAAAGAGGGAGGTGACTTCTAAATTCTTCTCCCTACTACAATCCTATAACCAATCGCACAGAAGCCAGGACCACCGGAGTCAGGACAGTTTAAGATGGTCAAAACCCACAGGAAAGAGGACTCAAGGATCTGGGAGGGATCAGAACATTCTCCCATCTCTGACCCACTCACATGCAGCTCACCGATTCCGGTAGATCTCAGATAAATTCCTCCCAAAGAATCGACCTATTGGCTGATTTTCATCCTCATCTTCATAGTTGTATTTGCCAGTCAGGAGACCACCTGTGGAAAGGACAGATAGGGCTAAGGATACCCACATGGACTTAGAGCTCAGTAAAAGGAAAAAGGCTACATGAGGCTGGGGTCTCACTTTTCAACTTGACAACAATCCAGAAAGAAGCAGAATGAATGAAAAAGCACGTACTAAACATTATTAAACTATTGCAAAGTAGTCAAAGCTAAGTGCTATAAGTGCAGATAAAAAGGCAAAAAAAAAAAAAAAAGTCCCTGCCCAACTGTTTACATTCCTACATGGGAAGATGATACTTGTAACTCTTGAGAACTGTATATTATGACATTTAGAAGGAGTATATATAGACAGAAGGTGTGGGTATCAATTGACTTTGATGGGATGATAAAAAATCTAATTAAGTGGTGAAAAGGAATTGTACTGGGAGAAGAAGAAGAAAAGAAGAGGTAGAAAAGGGTAAATTACATCACATTAAGAGGTGCAAAGGCCTATTAGAATAGAGGGAAAGAAGGGAAGGAGATGAGCATTGTTTGGACCTTACTTTCATCAGATTTGGCTCAAAGAGGGAATAATATACTCAATTAGGTGTAGAAATGTAACTTACCTTATATAGGAAGAAGGAGGGGAAAAGAGAAAGAAAAGGGAGGGTGCTGATAGAGGGGAGGGCAGATTGAGGGAGGTGGTGGTCAAAAGCAAAATTCTAATGAGGAGGGAAAGGGAGAAAGAGAAAAAATCATAAATAGGAGGGAAAATAGGATGGAGAGAAAGACACAGATAGTAATCATAACTGTGCATGTGAATTGGATGAATTCTCCCGTAAAATGGAATTGGATAGTAGAGTAGATTAAAAACCATAATCCTATAATATGTTGCTTACAAGAAACACATTTGAAGCAGAGGGATACACATAGAGTAAAGTAAAGGTAAAAGACTGGATTAGAATATATTATGCTTCAGCTGAAGTAAAAAAAAAGCAGGATGAGCAATCCTGATCTCAGACAAAGCAAATGCAAAAGGAGATCTAATTAAAAGAGATAAGGAAGAAAACTACATCCTCCTAAAAGGTACTATATACAATGAAGTAATATCATCACTAAACATATAAAGCAAGTGGTATAGCAACCAAATTCTTAGAGTAGAAGTTAAGGAAGTTACAGGAAGAAATAGACAACAAAATTATACTAGTGGGAGACCTCAACCTTCCCCTCTCAGAACTAGATGAATCTAACCATAAAATAAACAAGAAGTTAAGGAGATGAATAGAATTTTAGAAAAGTTAGATAGGGTAGACCTCTGGAGAAAACTGAATGGAGATAGAAGGGAATATACCTATTTCTCAGCAGTACATGGCACCTACATGAAAACTGACCATGCATTAAGGCATAAAAACCTCATAAACCAATGAAGAAAGGCAGAAATATTAAATGCATCCTTTTCAGATCATGATGCAATTAAAATTACATGTAATAAAGGGTCATGGAAAGACAGACTAAAAATGAATTGGAAACTAAATAATCTAATCCTAAAGAATCAGTGGGTCAAACAACAAATCATAGAAACAATCAGTAACTTCATCCAAGAGAATGGCAATAATGAGACAACATACCAAAACTTATGAGATGCAGCAAAAGCTGTTCTTAGGGGAAGTTTTATATCTCTAAATGCTTACATGAATAAAATAGAGAAAGAGGAGATCAATGAATTAGGCATGCAACTAAAAAAGCTAGAAAAAGAACAAATTAAAAATCTCCAATTAAATATGAAATTAGAAATTCTGAAAACCAAAGGAGAAGAGATTAATAAAGTTGAAATTAAGAAAACTATTGAACTAATAAATAAAAGTAAGAGCTGGTTTTATGAAAAAAGAAAAATCAATAAAAAAGATAAACCTTTGGTCAATTTGATTAAAAAAAAAAAAGACGAAAACTAAATTACCAGCATCAAAAATGAAAAGGGTGAGGGGCAGCAAGGTGGCACAGTGGATACAGCACTGGCCCTGAAGTCAGGAGGACCTGAGTTCAAATCTGGCCTCAGATCAAACACTTGACACTTACTAGCTGTGTGACCCTGGGCAAGTCACTTAACCCCAATTGCCTAAAAAAAAAAAAAATGAAAAGGGTGAATTTACCACCAAAGAAGAGGAAATCAAAACCATAATTAGGATCTATTTTGCCCAACTATATGCCAATAAAGTGGACAATCTTAATGAAATGGATGAATATTTACAAAAATATAAATTGCCCAGATCAATAGAAGAGGAAATAAAATACTTAACCCCATTTCAGAAAAAGAAATTGAACAAGCCATCGATGAAATCCCTAAGAAAAAATCTCCAGGGCGATATGGATTCACAAGTGAATTCTATCAAAAATTTAAAGAACAACTAATTCTATACAAACTATCTGGGAAAAATAAGTGAAGAAGGAGTCCTACCAAATTCTTTTTATGATACAAATATGGTGCTGATACCTAAATTGGGAAGAGCCAAAACAGAGAAAAAAAATTATAGACCAATTTCCCTAATGAATATAGATGCAAAAATTTTAAATAAAATATTAGCTAAGTGATTACAGCAGCTTATCTCGAGGAATATACACTATGACCAGGTAAGATTTATACCAGGAATGCAGGGCTGGTTCATTGTTAGGAAAACTATCAGCATAATTGACCATATCAGCAACAAAACAGAAGTCATATAATTATCTCAATAGATGCAGAAAAAGCATTTGACAAAATACAACATTCATTCCTATTAAAAACACTAAATAAGGTCTGTATCCCAAAGAGATCATAAAAATAGGAAAAGGACTCACATGTACAAAAATACTTATGGCAGCTCTTTCTGTGGTGGCAAAGAATTGGAAACTGAGGGGATGCCCATCAATTGGGGAATGTCTGAACAAGTTGTATTATATGAATGTAACGGAATATTATTGTGCTATAAAAAATGATGAGCAAGTGGACTTCATAAAAACCTGGAAAGACATGAACTGATGCACACTGAAATGAGCAGAACCAGGAGAACACTGTACATAGTAATAGCTACATTGTGCAATGGCTGACTTTGTTGGACTTAGCTCTTCTCAGCAATGCAAAGATTTAAGACAACTCCAAATCTCATGATGGAAAATGCTATCCACATCCAGAGAAAGTACTATGGAGTCTCAGTGCAGATGGAAGCATACTATTTTCTCTTTTCTTTTGTTGTTTTGTTTTATTTCTTCTTTCTCATGGTTCCTCCCATTAGTTCTAATTCTTCTATACATCATGACTAATGTGAACATATGCTTAATATGAATGTATAAGTAAAGCCTATATCAGATTGCACACCATTTTGGGTAGGGAGAAGGAGAGGGCAGGGGAGAAAATTTAAAACTCAAAATCATAGGGAAGTGAATGTTGAAAACTAAAAATAAATTAATTAATTTAATTTTTTAAAAAGTCCCTGCTCTCAAAAAGTTTACTTTCTAACCAGAGAAACAACATGAAAGACCAGGCCTGGAAGAAGCATTTGGGTGGCAAAAGTGAATAAGAGGCTGAGTGGGGTAACAGGGGACGTCAAACCCGCCCTGGGATGATGGCCAGGGTTCATTGGTTCATAATTCCGGAACTGGGGGTGGAGTGGGGCTGAACTGGGAGGGCAGGAAGAGGAGAAAGCTAGTTCTTCTAGGGCAAAGGGGCAAAACCAGAATGAAATGTAATGAGGGAATATTTAACAAAATAAATAAAAATATAAGAAAACTACTATGTGGCCCACAAGGTTACTCATGTGTGAATTATTGTCTCCTGTTTCTAATTGATCCCACTGAGACCCCCCCACCATCCTTGGACACTGTCTCTCTCTTCCTCCACCTTCTTCAAGTTAAGCTTAGAATAGAGACTTAGTAGGTATAAGGGAAGCCACAATAAATTCAGATTTCTGGAGCAATCTTTATCTTTAAAAAAATGAGGTAACTCTATGAGGTAGTTAGTATAAATATTATTTCCCCCATTTGGCCAGAGAGGCTGAGAGAGGGTGCAATTTGCCCATGGACACACAGCTAGCAAGTATCAAAGCCCAGATTTGAACCCAGATCTCTTGACTTCATGTCTTCATTCTACTATCCTACCCCACAGACTCTGGGGTCCCTCCCCCCTCTTTCCTCATACCAGCCAAAGGATTGAAGGCATAGAACCGCAGTCCAAAGCAACGCAGGCAGGGGAACAGCTCCGTCTCCACTTGCCTGGTGATGGCATTGTACATGCCCTGTGAGGGAGGGAGGACAGCACAGATGAGGAGGCTCAGGGAAGGGAGAACCCCCCAAACCAGTCCAGGTCAGGAGAGGTCACCAGGTTGGCACATTGGCTGGAGGTCTAGTCCAACTCATTCACTTTACAGATGAGGTAACTGAAGCCCAGAGATGGCATTAGGTAGGAAGTGGCAGAGTCAGGATTTGAACCTAGGTCTTCTATCTCCAAAGCCAGCGCTCTTTCTGCCCCAAAGCACTGGGAGTCAGAGCCCAAGTCCCAGCTGGGCCATTTACTAGCAGTATCACATGGGGGCAGTCCCTCCCTCCTTTGACCTTGAGGGTAGAAAGGTTCCCTGCCCATGGGGCCGTTGAACCTAATGACCAAGAACGGCCTGCAGGATGTCCAGCAGCATCCCGGGCTCAGACAGCTGCTCACCTGGTATACCGTGGGGAGGACCCAGCCATTGTTCTTGCAGAGGGTGCAGATTTCAGCTACTTCCCAGGAGGAGTAGTTGGAGAGGCCCAGCTCTACAAACTTACCCTGCAGGGGAGAAAGAGAGAAAGAAGGAGTGGAGGGGGAGGGGGAGGGGGAGGGGGAGAGAGAAAGAAGGGAGGGAGGGAGGAAGGTAGGAAGGAGGGGGAGGAGAGAGAGGGATGGAGAGAGAGGAGGGGAGAAAGGGAAAAAGGGAGGAAGAGGGGAGAGGAAGAAGGAAAGGGTGAGAGAAAGGGAGAGGGAGGGAGATGGAGAAGGGAGGAAGAGGGGGGAAAGAGAGGGACGGAGGGAGAGAGGTAGGAAAGATAATCAGAATGTCTTTGTGAGTAGGGACTGTTTCATTATCTCCAGCTCTAGCACAATGCCTGGCACATGGTTAGTAATCTTGAATGAATGACTGATTGATTGATTCACTAAGGTCTCTCCAGATCTGACATTCTGTACCGTAATTAGTCCCCTCTTTACCATCCTCTGCTCTCACCTCCTTGTGCAGCTCATTGCAGGCCTGCAGCGTCTCCTCTACTGGGGTGTTATGGTCTGGCATATGCAGGTAGAAGAGATCTATTCTGGGGCACTGCAGCCGCTTCAGGGAGGTCTCCAACTGGGACCGGACACTGTTGGCCCCGAGGGTCTTCCCATCCAAAGGATTGGCCTTGGTAGCAATTTTCACTTGGGGAGAAAGAAGGTGGGAGGAGTGGCTGAGATTCAATTCAATTCAAGCAACAGACAGAAAATTCTACAATATAATATTTGCAAGTGCTTAACAGTCCCTGGCTCATAGTATGCACTTAATAAATTCCTGTTTGCTTCCTTCCTTCATGGACCCCTATGTCAATCTGGCAAAGCCCATGGACCCATTCTCAGAATAATGTTTTTAAATAATTGAAATTAATATCACATTTCTGTGAGAAGGTGGTGAAAAGAAAGATGAGGTTTTTGTTTTTTTTTTGTCCAATGTCACAGATCGTCTGAAAGCTATCCCAGAACCCCAGGGTTAAGAACCCCCGATCCAGCTCACATGTCTTATCTTACCTTGGATAATACCAAAATCTACCAAGGAAAAATGATTTATCCAGGTCACCTGAACATGGGCTTTCCTGAAAGGAAGAGAGAGTGGGGGTGTGTGTGTGTGTGTGTGTGTGTGTGTGTGTGTGTGTGTGTGTGTGTGTGTGTGTGTGTGTGTGTGTGTGCCTGGCATAGAGGAAAGAATTCTGGATTTGAAGTCGAGAGAGAGCTCAGCTGCAAATCCTGGCTGGGCCACTGACAACCTGTGCAGCCTCTGGCAAGTCACTTACTCACTGTGGGTCTCAATTTCCTCATCTGTCAAATAAGGGATTTTATTGCTCAGTAGCTCTGTGACCTTGGGCAAGTCACTTCACTGAATCTGTTTCCTAGCCCCTAGAAGGAGCAGGCTGGTTGGGTCAAATGATCTCTAATCTCAAATGCTACATCTGGTGTTCCTATGAATGAGGGGGAGGGGATCTGGAGACAAGGGAGTCAGGAGAAGAGGACAAAAGTCAAGTTTAAGTCCAATCAATAAGGTGTCATTTTAAATTTACTTGTCACACCTGTTACTGAGCTCCCAGACTTAAGTCACCTGCCTAGTGTGACACAAAGCATTATTAAGTACCTACTGTGTGCCAGATGCTTTACAGATATTGCCTGATTTGATCCTCACAACCACCCTAGAAGGTAGGTGCTATTGTTATCTCCATTTAACAGTTGAGGAAACTGAGGCAAGCAGAGGCTAAGTGACTTGCCTAGGGTTATAAACTAGTAAATGCTGAGGCTGGATTCCAACTCAGGTCTTCCTGATTCTTAGCTGCCCATGGAAGGCAGTCCAATCACTTAGGTGGTTTCCTCTACTTAGTTGGTTTCCTCTACTTAGTTTCATACTCTATCCTTCCTCTCTTAGCTGCCAGGAAAAAGATTGGGTCCTAGGGCAGCTAGGTGGTGCAGTGGATAGAGCACTGGCCCTGAAGTCAGGAGGACCTGAGTTCAAATTCGGTCTCAAACCAAACACTTGACACTTACTAGCTGTGTGACTCTGGGCAAGTCACTTAACCCCAATTGACCCCCCCCAAAAAAAAGTACACACACATGTAATTTATGGGGCAGACAGGTGGGGCAGTGGGTAGAGCACCAGTCCTGAAGTCAGGAGGACCTGAATTTAAATCCGACCTTAGACCAAACACTTAACACTTACTAGCTGTGTGACCCTGGGCAAGTCACTTAACCCCAAATGCCTAAAAAAACCAACCAAACAAACAAACAAAAAGAAAAAGATTGGGTTCTGCTAGGAACTTTGTTTTCAGCTACAACTACAATTTGGGGGATAGGACCCAGCCTAAGTGGTGGGCGGGGGTGGGGAAAGAGGTGGTGGAGAGGAATGGTGGTTAAAGGGCCCTGATTAGCAAGAAGCTGGAAAGATAATTCAGGGATCATGGGAACACAAGTGTAGAGCTGGAAGGCCTCTAGACATTTAGTCCAAACCTGTCGCTTTTCAGGTAAGGGGAAAATCTTTTTGGGTCTCAGTTTCCTCATCTGTAAAATGAGAGAGTTGTGATGTGATGACCTCTAAGGTTCCTTGCTTCTCTCAATTGATGATTCTATACCCAGAGAGTTCAAGTACTTTCTTAAGGTCACAATGAAAGTTCAGAGCTCGGATCTGAGAGCGTACAGATGTATAATGTGTGTGCCCAGTCGTTTCAGTCCTGTCTGAGCCTTCATGACCTCATTTGAGGTTTTCTTGGCAAAGATACTGGAGTGATTTGCCATTTCCTTCTCCAGCTTATTTGACAGATAGGGAAACTGAGGTAAACAGGGTGAAGTGACTTGCCTCGGGTCACACAGCTGCTAGTAAGTGTCTGAGGCCAGATCTGACTCAGGTTTTCCCGACTCCAGGCCTGGTACTCTACCCACTGCACCACCTGGCTGCCCTGAATTGTAATACTGAATCCCCAAACCCTCCTTCCTCCTGGACACCAAGATGAAATAAGTAATGCTCAAATGGGACAATGTGGAAGAAAGAAGCCCTGGGCTGCCAGTCCTGTCCCAACTCTGCAGTTCATTCACTGTGTGTGTTGCCTTAGAGAAGTCATTTCCATTTCTGGGCCTCAGTTTCCCTCTCTGTAAAATAGGGAGTTGAGATAAAAGTGATCTCTAAGCCCATTCAGTCCTGACATTCCACTTTCTAAGGTTTATTTGAGTTCTAACAATCTGGGTTCTAAGGTTTCTTCCAGCTCTTACATTCTATAAATTTGAGAAAGCAGCAGATCACCTACTCAGGGAGGCAGTCTGGGGTGAGATCAGGCACTGAAGGACTAAGGCCATAAATGGGGCTCATTCACTTTGCTGAAGTGTGGCAAGGGAAGACTCTACCTGAGTCTCTCCTCCAGCCCCAATGGAGGCTCTAAGTAGCATCACAACCTTGAGACAGAACAGACCTATTCCCTCTCTCCACCCCACCTCTCAAACTCCTTGGTCTCTGAGTAGTGCCAGATAAAATTGAAAAAGTCCTCTCCCTGACTTGCAGGAAACCACGTGCAAAGCTTCACCCAAGGTCAACAACGTGTCCTCCCTTTCCTTAGGCAGGAGCTTTAACTCAGCCTGGCAGGCTTCGAAGGAAGTATTCGGGGGCATGCTTGGGGGCAGGGAGCCCATAGGAAGGCTACTAGCCAAAGAGTGAGTAACTATGATGAGAATCTAGTTACTGCTCGGGCCGACCGTCATGGGGCTGGGGACACCTTGGGAACAAGCGTCCTTTAAAAGACGCCAGGTAGGCGCCAGGGGAAGTCAGAGTGTTTGGGAACCTGCTGATTGAGGGAGGCAAGGGTTAACTCTGGAGAGGCAGTAAGGCCAGAGATTAATTACACTGTTCAGGCGAGGAGGCAGCCTCTTTCGGAGATTAGAATGCACGCCTTTGGACCCACTGGCCAGGTGAAAGCTAGGGATGCAAAGGTGTCAGGGGACCCAAAACAAAATGTTTTGGCGGGGCTGCAGGGGAGGGCACTGAGAACCCAGATCAAGAGGACTGAGGATGCAAGGCCCAGATGAGGAGTTCTGGCCTGTACCGGCCTCGGAGCCGGGTCAAGCGTCCAAAGGTGCACTCCTCAGACTGCGGCATCAAGGAGAGTCGAGGCTGCACGACGTCAGGACCCACTTGCCACGTCTGGGGTGGGTGGGATTCAAGTTGCATCTCACTCGGTGGCATAGACCCTGGAGGGCTGGGCAGAGGCTGGCTTACCTCCTTTGCTGCCGTCCTTTAGCCCCAGGTCCATGCTGCCCAAGAAACTCTCAGACTGGCCTTCGCCATAATAGTGGGCCGTGTCCACCTCGCGGTAGCCGCGGTCCAGGAAAGTCTGAATGGCGGCCTCGCTGGATGCCTGGTCCATGCGCCAGCCCATCTCCATCGCGCCCAGCACGGTGGCCGGACGGTCCTGATTCCGAGCTGTCCAGGACATCGCGGCGGCTGCGCTAGGAGAGCAGAGCAGACACTTGCGCCAGGAGGGCAGAGCAGTCACTTGTGCGCTCGAGGCTCTGGGCAGGAGGATCTTTATGCGCGCTGCCAGCACATTGGAGGCGCCGGCCCCGCCCCGTGACGTCACGCAGGAGGCTGGTAAGGAGAGGGGAGGGCGGAGCGGTCGCGGATCCCAGGGACTGTCTATAAAGAGCCGGACAGAGGAGAATGCGGAGGCGGAGGAGGAGGAGAAAACGGAGGAGGAGGTACGGAGCGACGGCACCTCCCGGAGGGCGGAGCGGAGGGACGGCTGCAGTCAGGTGACCGGAGCCCGCTGGACTGCAAGAGCCGGGCCGGGCTGCGAGAGGCTGGGCTGCGACGGGCCGGGCTGCGAGAGCCCAAGCTGCTGCGGTCGGAGCCGTCTAAGCGGTACGTTGGGGGGAGTGAGGCGGCTGGTTCAGGGCGGGGCGGCCCCGGACGCCCGGGAACCCCCCAGTCTGCTCCCCCACCTTCCCAGGGCTTCACTTACTCTTCTTTCGGAGGAGGCATTGTAAGCGCTTTGAGATCCGGGGCTTGCAGCTAGCCCTGGAGGGGTAGGTAGGATGATGGCCTGAGTCCTCGAATACCCGGGCTTGATGCTCTTCGGACCCCCCTGGTCCCGGGAAGAAAACAGGCAACAACCCCCACCTCCCACCCCCGCGCCCCGAGACCCTTCACTGGCCTCCCGGCATGTGGACTTGAAAGCAACCTGAAGGGAGTCTCTGGTCCAACATTCTTCTTTTTTCAGATGAGGAAACTGAGGTCCAGGGACAGAAAGGGATCTGCCTGGAGTCTCCCTGAGCTAGGATTCCAACTTAGGTCTTGTTTATGCCTGTCTCAGCCTGGAGGCACAGCCTCCTGGGCAGGGAAGGACTGAAACTTCCAGGCTAGGTTATCATTTATCCCCCCGGAAGGGACCCAGTAATCCGGCAGGGGTGGGAGGGCAGTCCTGGGGACCCAGAAGTCCTGGGCCTCTTGTCACCCCACCCCCATTTCCCCGTCCCTTCCATCAGCCAAGCAGGGTATTAATGAGCGTGCCTAAGCTGTCTGGTAAGGATGTGCTGGCACATTTCCAGATGTATTGTAAACATCAAGTCACATAAGGAAGTCAGCCTCTTACCTTGAATTTTTAAGCAGCAGAATCCAGGAGTGTGAGAAAGCCTGATAATCAGTCAACATTTATTAAGCACCTACTGTGTGCCAGGCACTGTGCTGATTCAACGAACTACAAAAAGAGGCAAAAGACAGCCCCTGCCCTCAAGGAGCTTACACTCTAATGGGGAGAGATAAAAACATGTGAACATTATCTATGTTCGATTGTATTTTTACTTATTTTGTTAAATATTTCCCAATTTCATTTTAATCTGTTGGGCAATACTCAAGAGTGTTGTGTGCAGGCCATGTGTGCAGACACCTCAAATATCTATAATAAATGAGGTATACTCCATCCCTTGCCTTTTCTAAAGGCTAGACAGGGATTTTAAGGTTAGACTCCTCCAAACTGCAGCCCAGGCCCATTGTGTATAGGGCTGATCCAGGATTTTGGCATTGGATCTGGGCTTTCTAAACCCTCAGTGACTTTGTTCAGGCATCATCCTGGTGAGGGTCTAGACAGTGCTGAGCATTGTGGGGGGTGTGTGTGTGTGTGTGTGTGCAGTTGAGTATTGGTACTGAGGGATCACCATGGCTACCTAGTTATTGGGGGACAGGTGCACAGTAATGGAGCTGGACTCTCACAGTTGAGGGAATAGTCTCTGGACTGTGCTGAGATCTCCAAAAAGACCACCACCAACTCTGTGGGAATGTAAACTATGGAGGAAAAGTTTGAGTGAAAAATATAAATGAAAGTCATTTTATTAGGTCCTGGTTTTATTAGATCCTTGCTGTTCCATAAACAAAGTCCTCCATCTCCCTATCTCTGGGCATTTTCTCTGGCTGTCGCTCGTGCCTGGAATGTTCTCCCTCCTTGTCTCATCTGTTACCCTCCCTGACTTCCTTCAAGGCCCCACTAAAATCCCTCTTTTACAGGAATTTCTTTCCTGTCCTCTCTTAGTTCAAATGCCTTTACTCTCCCAAGTATTTCCTATTTAATCTGTATATAGCTTGTTTTTACATATTTGTTTGCTTGTCATAGACCCCCCCCCCATATTGTTTGCTCTTTGAAGGCAGGAGACTGTCTTTTGCCTTTTTTTGTATCTTCAGAGCTTAGCACAGTGTCTGGCACATAGTAGGCACTTAATAAATGTTTATTGACTGACATACTTACAGAGTGCACAGCCCTGAGGATACAAATGTGAGGAGATAACCTGCCCTCTAGGGGCTGCCCTTCTAATGGAGGAGACCATACCAATTGAGAAGTGGAGGGCCAGGGAGGGCTGTTTTATTTGGAAGTCGTTGCAGAAGGTACAACTAGGTGGGGAAGTGGATAGTGAGCCAGGAGGACTCATTTTCTAGAGTTCAAATCTGACCTCAGACACTTACTAGTTATGTGACTCTGGGCAAGTCACTTAACCCTGTTTGCCTCAGTTTCCTTATCTGTCAAATGAGCTGCAGAAGGAAATGGCAAACCACTGTAGTATCTTTGCCAAGAAAACCCATAGTGGGGTCATGAAAAGTCAGACGGGACTGAACAAGGAGAGAGTGAGGGCCAAGGAGGCAGGAGCATAGATGGATAAAAGGATGTATGTGAGAGGTTCCTGAGAGTAAAGTCAAATGAATTAATATATATGTATATATATATACATATATATATATATATATAAAGTGTATTACAAACGGTAAAGTGCTATATACATGCTCGATTCTGTTATTAAGATAAATCGTGAATGGAGCTAGGCTTAAGTACAGTGGGTCACTGAGGCAATCACAATTCCATTGCAGAAGGGCCTCTAGGGAGTTCCAGGCATAAAAGGGGTAAGTCCTCCGAGGCTTGTTTTCTGGTTCAGTCTACTGAAGAAGACATTTCCCTGAAGGAGATGTTTCTGATACTGCTTGGAATGAGATGCCTGATAATACAGAACCTTCTTAAATTCCCCGGAGAAGTATTGGAGAGAGGATTGGAGTTTCAGGTTTCAGACTAGTACACTTGGAAGGGACTGCACATCTTTTAATTGAGGGGAGAATATAGTGAATGTCCACTCTAGGAGAAGCTCCTCAGCTACAAAACGAGGTGGGGAAGAGTGGGGGTTTTGAGTTCGATGACCTCTGAACTCCTATTCTGTATTTTTATGAACTTCCAAGGTAAAAAGCAGAGTTTCTAAGGTTCACTGCTGTCTCCTACCAGTTTGGGAAGAGGCTAACAAGAACCTCTAAGGAAAACCCCATCTTACCTTTTACTCAGAAACCAGCCTTTTGGTGTGCCCTGGAAGCTGAATTATGCTCTGAACTGGCCCAGAGGCCTTTAGAGTCTCCATAGTGTTCAGAGAAAGGAGAATGAGGCAGGAGAGGAAAAAAAGCAGTGGTCCGAGGCTTGATAATCTGCCTAGAGCCAGAAGGATCCTGGGGGAGGAGAGGACACACCCCACCCCCTCTTTGAGGAACAGGCATTTATTAAGAGCCTAATTGTTTTTGTTTTATTTTTTAGTGTTTAACACTTTTTAATGTGGCTGGAGCTTCAAGATGTAGCTTCTCTGATGCGAATGCTTTAAAGAGTGACATACACAAGGATCCCATGCAAGGTGTTTTTTTTTTTATTTATTTTTTGTTGCATTTTGAGTTCTAAGTTGTTTCCCTCCCTCCCTCCCAACCCAACATTAGAGAAGGCCAACATTTTATATATATGCATGTATGTGTGTTTATGAGAGAGAGAGAGAGAGAGGTAAAGGTGGAGGAGGAGGAGGAGAGAGAACCATACAATATACATTTCCATATATCAGTTCTTTCTCTGGAGGTGGATAGCATTTTCCTTTGTAGCTGATCATGTTTCTCAGAATAGCTTAGCCGTTCACAGTTACTCTTTGAACAATATTGCCGTTACTATATTCGACGTTCTCTTGGTTCTGCTCATTTCTGCTTTATTTCATGCAAGTCTTTCCACGTTTTTATAAAACCAACCTGTTTATCATTTTTTATATCACAGTAGTATTCCATTACATTCATATACCACAGCTTTTTCAGTCATTCCCCAGTTGATGGGCATCACCGCAGTTTTTCCAGTTCTTTGCCACCTTAAAGAGAGCTGCAATAAATATTAGAACATATAGATTCTTTTCCGTTTTCTCTGATCACTGTATATACATCACATCACCTGATTTGACCCTCGAGATGATCTGTGAGGTTGATGCTATCATTAATTTTCTCCCATTTCACAGATGGGGAACCTGAGGTTAAGAACTTTTTCCTTTTTTGGTTTTTTGATTTATTTTTATTTTTTCTCATTCTAATGTAGTATTTTATTTCCCCCAATTACATGTAAAAACAGTTTTCTACATTCATTTTAAAAATTAAGTTCCAAATTCTCTACCTCCCTCCCCACCCCTCTCATTGAGAAGGCAAGCAATTTGATACAGGTTATACGTGTGTAGTCATGCAAAACATATTTTCATACTAGTCATGTTGTAAAAACAAAAAACTAGACCAAAATTAAAAACCCAAGAAAAATAAAGAAAGTAAAAAAAGTATGTTTTGGTCTGTATTCATACTCCATCAATTCTTTCTATGGGAATGGATAGCATTTTTCATTATAAGTCCTTCAGAGTTGTCTTGATCATCTTACAATATTGTTGTTACTGTGTACAATGTTCTCTTGGTTCCACTCATTTCACTTTGCATCATTTCATGTAAGTCTCTAGGTTTTTCTGAGAGCATCTAGCTCATCATTTCTTAAAGCACAATATATCTTTTTTTGATCATGGCTTTCAGGAAGTCCAGTAATTTTAAAATTATCTCTCCTGGATTTTTTTTCCAGGTCAGTTGTTTTTTCTAATGAGATATTTCACATTATCTTCTATTTTTTTTTTCATTCTTTTGGTCTTGTTTTATTGTTTCTTGATTTCTCATAGAATCATTAGCTTCTACTTGCTCAATTATAATTTTTTAAAATTAATTTATTTTTAGTTTTCAACATTCACTTCCACAAAATTTTGAGTTCCAAATTTTCTCCCCATCTCATCCCTCTCCCCACCCCAAAATGGCATGCATTCTGAATACCTCTTCCCCTAGTCTGCCTTCCCTTCTATCTCTCCCTCCTTCTCTTATCCCCTTCTCCTTCTACTTTACTGTAGGGCAGGATAGATTTCTGTACCCCATCTTGTATATCTTATTTCCTAGTTGCATGTGAAAACAATTTTTTTTCACATTTGTTTTTAAAACTTTGGGTTTCAAATTTTCTCTGTTTCTTCTTCCCCACCTACCCTCATTGAGAAGGCAAGGAATTTGATACAGGTTTTATGTGTGTAGTCATGCAGAACACCTATTTCCCTTCATCCTGTCCCGCCCCCTGTTTATTCTATTCTCTCTTTTGACTCTGTCCCTCCTTAGAAGTGTTTGCTTCTGATTACCTCCTCCCCCAATCTGCCCTCTCCTCTATCATCCCCCTGTTCTCTTCTCCCCTTCCACCCAACTCCTGTTTTCCTGTAGGGTAAGATAGATTTCCATACCCAATTGAGTGTGTGTGTTATTTTCCCTCCTTAAGCCAAATCCGATGAGAATAAGATTCACTCATTCTCTCTCACCTTCCCTCCCCCCCATCCCCTCCACTGAAAAAGCCTTTTCTTGTCTATTTTGTGTGAGATAATTTACCCCATTCTACCTCTCCTTTTCTCCTTCTCCCAGTATAATCCTCTCTCACCCCTTAATTTTATTCTCCAGGTAGCACCCATTCATCTTCAACTCATCCTGTGCCTTCTATTTATCCATCTGTTTATCTGTCTATCTGTCTGTCTATCTATCTATCTATCTATCTATCTATCTATACATACATATAATTTTTTCTCTCCAACTGCCCTAATACTGATGAAAGTCTCATGAGTTACAAATATCATCTTTCCATGCAGGAATGTAAACGGCTCAACCTTAGTAAGTCCCTTATGATTTCTCTTTCCTGTTTACCTCTTCATGTTTCTCTTGAGTCTTATATTTGAAAGTCAGATTTTCTGTTCAGCTCTGGTCTTTTCAGCAAGAATGCTTGAAAGTCCTCTATTTCACTGAATGTCCATTTTTTCCCCGAAGGATTATACTCAGTTTTTCTGGGTAGGTGATTCTTGGCTGTAATCCTATCTCCTTTGCCCTACGAAATATCATATTTCAAGTCTTCTGATCTCTTAATGTAGAAGCTGCTAAATCCTGTGCTATCCTGATTGTGTTTCCACAATACTTGAATTGTTTCTTTCTCTCTGTTTGCAATATTTTCTCCTTGACCTGGGAACTCTGGAATTTGGCTAAAATATTCCTAGGAGTTTCCTTGGGGATCTCTTTCAGGAGGTGATCAGTGGATTCTTTCCATTTCTGTTTTGCCCTCTGGTTCTAGAATATCAGGGCAGTTTTCCTTGACAATTTCTTGAAAGATGATGTCTAGGCTTTTTTTTTTTTTTGATCATGGCTTTCAGATAGTCCAATAATTTTAAAATTATCTCTCCTGGATCTATTTTCCAGGTCAGTTGTTTTTCCAATGAGATATTTCACATTGTCTTCCATTTTTTCATTCTTTTGGTTTTGTTTTACAATGTCTTTGATTTCTCACTAGCTTCCAATTGCTCCATTCTAATTTTTAAGGAAGTATTTTCTTCAGTGAGCTTTTGGACTTCCTTTTCCATTTGGCCAATTCTGCTTTTTGAGGGATTCTTCTCCTCATTGGCTTTTTGGACCTCTTTTGCCATTTGGGTTAGGCTATCTTTTAAGGTGTTATTTTCTTCAGTATTTTTTTGGGTCTCCTTTAGCAAGCTATTGACTATTTTTTCATGATTTTCTTGCATCACTCTCATTTCTCTTCCCAGTTTTTCCTCTGCTTCTCTTACTTGCTTCTCAAAATTCTTTTTGAGCTCTTCCAAAAATGGCCTGGGACTGATTCATATTTTTCTTGGAGGCTTTGGATGTAGGGGCTTGGACTTTGTTGTCTTCTTCTGGTTGTACATTTTGATCTTCTTTGTTACCAAAAAAAGATTCTGTGGTCTGACTTTTTTTGCACCTTTGTTTGCTCATGTTCCCAGCCAATTATGTGAGTTATAAACTCTTTGTTAAAGTAGGGGTCTGCTTCCAATGTGGAGAATGTACTGTCCCAAGCTTCGGGGGTTTTGTGCAGCTGTTTTCAGAGATATTTCTAGGGACCTGTAAGTTTTCAGTTCTCCCAAGGTGGTATGATCAAGGGCAAGGTGTTTACTCCTTTCCTGGCCTTTGCTCTGGTCTATGAGTGACCACAAGCACTCTTTTCTGCCTTGGAACTGTGATGAGGATTCCTGTTCCACTGAGGCTGCAAACTCTGGTGTGCTGGTGCTCCTCCTTGCCCTGGGATTGCTGCCCAGGACTGCAGTCTGGGTCAGAGTATGGGCAAAGCAACAGAGTCCTGCCTCAGTGTAAAGAGACCCCTGTAATCTCCTTCTGACCAGTTGTTCAACCCTCTTACTGTCTGTGGGCTAAGACCTCTGGAAACATCCACTGCCGCTGCTGATTTAGTTACTCCCAAGCCTTACTCCTGGTTTGCTTGAGGCTGGTTTGTGCTGGTGCTGGTGCTGCTGCTGGTGCTGGTGCTGCTGCTGGTGCGGCGTGCACTGGACTGTGCTCCTCTCTCACCCTGGTGTGACAGACATTTCCTGTCGAACTTCTAAGTTGTCTTGAGCTGGAAAATTGCTTCACCCTGGCATTTTGTGGGTTCTGCTGTTACAGAATTTGTTTTAGGGTGTTATTTAAAGGTCTTTGGAGGGGTTTTGGGGAGAGCTTAGTCGAGTCCCTGCTTTTTCTCTGCCATCATGGCTCTGCCCCTAGGTTAAGAGCTTTTAAATGACTTGCCCTGGTAAATTGTGTCAGAGAGGGCTTGGAAGGACCCAGTTCTTGCTGCCCGCAAAGTCCAGCACTCTATCCGTGAGGTCACACTGTCTCGGTTTCTGAACTATGAGCATTTATTGTGGTCATGTTATGTTTTTCATAATGTTATAAAAAATGACAATGGAAATGGAAAAGATATCTGTAGAAGTCCAGGTTCAAGGCTGGGTGCTCTCTGTGATTGTCTTTGCTGAGGATCTCAGGCCCTTCTCCAAATGTCAGCTCCATGGGAATGGAAAGAAGACTGAATCTTTCCTACCTCTTTGGTGCCTGATCCCTCCCAGGGCAAGGCTGTGTAACAATCAGAGGCCCTCTAGACAGGACAGGCACTAGAACTGACTCATCCATAGCTCTTTGAGATTCACTGCAATGGATTCAGAAGCAGAGAGCGTGGGTTCAAATTCAGGCTCTGCTGCTTGCCTGTGTCAGCCTAGAAAGGCCATTTCCTTTGTCTGGGCTTCAGTTCCTTCATCTGTAAAGTGAAGGGGTTGATTTGAAGGCCTTGAGAAGTCTGCTCAATGCACTGTCCAACCACAATTCCTGAGGCCCCAGAGAGAAGTCTGCTGCCCACCTCCTCATGGAGAGGGGGTGGATGGAGGGGGCTGATTGAGTCATACTTTTGGACTTGGCCAATTTGGGAATTTGTTTTGTAGACTTTGAATGTTCATTACACGGGTTTTCTTTTCACTTTTTTTTTGTTTGTTTTCCATTTGGGGAGATAAAATAGATTTTTGTTCATTGAAACAAATTATTTTTTTTTAAAATGAGGGGATTGGACTAGCTGATTTGTGGGATCTGTCCCTGTTCCAATGATTATAGATTTGGCTCTGGAAGAGGCCTCAGACATCTTCTAGCTCAATCCCGTCATCTTAGAGACTCCCCAGCCACCCACCACCCCTTGACTCCTTGCATAGCTGAAAGGCAGCTTCCAATGATTGGAGCATTGTAGCTGCCCTGAGCTCCTAAGAAACTCCTCACAAGAAGTTGGGGACAAAGAGGAAGCTGCTTCAGGGTTTCTTTCACAACCAGACACAGTCACATGACCCCAGCTTCAGCAGTTTCCTAGGGTCACTAATGACTGAGACCTTGGATGTCCCTGTGGAAGGAGTATGTGCAAACATTGAGAAATGCTGTAAACCTCCCCTGACTCTCCCAGGTGAAGGAGGAGGAAGAGCCCATGGGAGAGCTGGGGCTAAGGGGAAATAGACCTCGTGGCTCTGGAGGGCATGGGGTATCCAGACAGCTCGGGCTGGGAGGACAACTGAAGGATCCGCCTTTGCAGGGCAGTGAATGACAGTGGCTTTTGGACCACACTGAGGATTTCATGGCTTGGGGAATGCACCCCACTGATACAGATTAACGTAGAGTCTTACTCTAAGACTGAGACCACAAGACACTAAGTAACTTGTCTAGAGTCACCCAGCCTACATGTCAGAGGAGGGATTTGAACCCAAGGCTCTCTGTTCACTCTGCTTCTCAGTAATAAAAGAAGTCACACCTAAATAGGGGCTTATTTGTATATTTGATCTCCTCTGTTAGAATGGAAGCTCCCTGAGGGTAAAGGAGGTTTGATTTTTGTCTGCTTAGGGCTATGTGGTTTTTTGTCTTTTTTGTATCCCTAGCACTTGGCACTGTGCCTGACACATTGTGAGCTTTAGGCTTGGTGATGTGACCACACTTGACTTTGTATCCCAGCACCAAGCCTTGTGCTGGCATGCAAAAGCAGATTAAGTTAACTGTTTACAAATCATTTGATCCTCTACTTTGTGGGGGAGATGTTCTCATTATCCCCCTTTTAAAGATGAGGATATTGAGGCCTAAGGAAATTGTGCTAAGGGTCAGCACAGATGGCAAGTGGCCTGAGCCAGGCTTTGATTCCAAACCTATCATCCTTACACTGCTAAGTAGGAAGGTGAGTTACAACTTGTTCCTTAGGTCTGTATCCAGGACTGATTATCTCTTTCTTCCATCCTGACTGGGTTAGCCATGGTGTCTGTTTAATCTGATTATTCTTGAGAGGGCTCGGGCACTAGGGGTTGATTAGAGAGCAGATGAGGTCAAGATTGGGATTTAGAGAAGTGGCCCTCTTCATCTGCCCCTAACCCTAACCCCCAGAAGCCTTGGAGGGCCTGGTTCCAGGCTCTGGTGCCTTCTTGCCCTAACCTGGAAGTCCTTTCAGTCATAATCATAATCATAATTACACCTGGTATTCATATAGCACTTTATGGTTTGCAAAGCTTTTCACATATGTTATTCACTTGATGCTCACACTAACCCTATAAAGTAGGTGTTAAAATCCTCATTTTACAGGAAACTTTGGTGTAATTACAATAATAACAACAGCAACATTTATAAAGTGCTGTGTGCCAGGCACTATGCTAAGCAATTGGTAATTATTATCCCATTTTATCCTCATGACAACCCTGGGAGGTATGGGCTGTTATTAAATCCATTTTGCAGATGTGGAAACTAAGGCAAACAGAGCTTAAGTGACATGCCCAGGGTCACACCCCTAAGTAAGAATCTGAGGCTGGATTGCAGTGTAGGCTTTCTTGACTCCAGCACTGTGATCTACCTAGTTGCCTATAATATCGATATAGCACTTTAAGATTTATATATGTTTACTCCTTTGATCCTTTCAGAATCTTCTCCACCCCCACCATGGTCTGGAAGAACTTTGGCTCCAACGTGCTTGCCGCAGAGAACTTCTCCAGTTGTCCCAATGGCTCCCCTTGGATCTGGGATCTGTTCAACGAGTGTGCCCAGGATGGGTGGGACCTAGCCAGCGTGATCCTGGGCCTGACTTCAATAGTCTGTTTTATTGCGGCTGCCTTCCCGTAAGTCGAGTTGGGGACCAGTTAGCCAGTGCGGCCAGCAGTGACCGTCAGCCTCTCTTGTGCTGAGGACATACAGACTCTTAATCTGGGGAAGAGAAGGGGGCCTTAGCCGAGAGAAGAGAAAACGCCTTGTGGGGTTTGGGAGGGAGGGAGGAAGGACAGAAGGGCCTCTGGCTGCCTTCTGCAAATATATGAAGGCCTGTCAAGTGGAGAAGGGTCAGTCCTGAAGAAACAGAACTGGGATGCAGTGGGGGAGGTGGGGTACAGAGAGGCAGAATTAGGCCTGGTGTCAGTGACCAACCATTGGATTCAGTCTGCAGTAGAATGAGCTGCTTGGGGAGCTAGTGAAGCCCTCCATCCCAGCACACGGTGAGCAGGATGCCCACTCGTGAGGAATGCTGTAGACAGAATTCTTGGTTAGGGCCAGCTTGGGGGAGATACGCTTCTAGTGCTAAGATTCTGTGATGCTGTGACCTCCTCCCTCTCCCTGCCTCAGCCTCCCCCTCCCCGTCAGCATCAACCTCAGCCTGAGCGTTGAAATGGTACCTGCGCTCTCTCACCTGTCACTCAGCATCTCTGAGCTACTGTGGCCTCTGCCTGCCCTTGCCTGATCATGTCTGAAGTCGAGCCTGGAAGGAGAATGGCAAAAGACTTCTTCATCTTAGCCCTCTGACATTCACTATTTCCATCCTGAATGAATGAATGAAAAAGTTAGTCAAAAAGTATCTATTAAACATTTACTGCGTGCCAGGAAGCTTGCGGAACTCTGGGAATCTGGTGGAGAGATAGAGGCTCTTTGGATTCTTCCTGATATTTCTGATGACATTTATCACCCTCTTCATCATCATCATCATCATCATCATCATTATTATTATCATTGGAGGCATTGGTGTTAAGTGACTTGCCCAGGGGCACACAGCTAGAGAGTATCTGAGGCTGGATTTGACTTCAGGGCCTAGGGCCAGTGCTATATCCACTGTACCACCTAGCAGCCCTGTTATGACATTTAAAGGTAGACTGGGGCCAGGTTGTGAAGGGCTTTAAATTCCAAACAGAAGAGTTTTGTTTTGATCCTAGAGGCAAATAGGAAGCCATTGAAACTTCTTGAGTGGGGGAGTGACCTTCTCTGCATCTCTAGCCTCACTTCCTTTGTTTTAAACAGTTAACAAAAGATTTACTTAGCCATGGTAGGAGGAGGGTGTTCAGATCTGGGAAAGGATGCTCATGTAAGACAAAGCCTTGCTTCATATGAGCTCAGCTTTTTTCACTGAGGTGATCTAGGGTCTGAAGGCTAGGAAGGGGCTCCAGCCCCTTGGGTCTGGGCTGCTTTATGTTCAGATGACCAGGATGCTATGCCTCAGCCTTAGTCCTCTGAGCCAGTCAAATCTCCAAGACGATTGTGATATATTTTAAGGACAAATTAGCCTAACTTGTATGGGGGGGAACATCGTACCCACCTCACTCCACCCTGTGATGGTGAAGTCTTCCAGGTCTTTTACATGAGGGGTGTCAAACTCTAAGAGAAATAGGGGCCACTAAACCATACACGCACAGCGACTTAGATAATCACGTAGTAATATTATCTACATTTTGTTGCATTTTTGTTTGTCTTGTTCAGTATTTCCCAGTTACCTTTGAATCTGGCTTAGGCTGCACTTGAGGGTGTTATAGGCCCTGGGGCTGCATGTTTGACTCCTCTGCTCTCAAGAACCTTCTGCTACCTGATGACTTTAGGACCATTACTGGACAGCCCCGACCTCCCTTCTCCATTCCTTTTTATATCCGGTCAGTTACCGGGACTTGAATCTGCTTCTGGGGCCCCCCTTCATCCACTCCTTCCTCCCTGTCCCTGTGGCTCCCACTCTAAGTCTGGGCCCTCACTCCCACTGGACTAATGTAATGCTCATCCCACAGGTATTCCCCTTATAATCTGTTCTTTATGCATTCGTTGGAATGGTCTTTCTTCCATAGAGAGGCAGTGTGTCACTGTGGAAATCAAGTGCCAGGCTTTAAGTCAGAGGATCTGGCTTCAAATCTCAGTTCTTCTTATTTGGGTGACCATAGGCTGCTTCCTTTACTTCCCCATCTGCAAAATGGGTGGGGGGGAGGTTGTGCACAGGTTGGACCAGACAGCCTGTGAGAGCCCTTCTGACTTGTCCTGAGTCACGTCCCCTATCTAAACCTCAGTTTCCTCATCTGTAAATGAGAGGTTAGACTGGAGACCCTTTGAGGTCCCCCCCAGCTCTCGATCAATGAATCTGTGAACCCAGGTATGGCTAGCACCTCTGAACCTCTTTATTAAAGCAGAGTCAGCTCTGACGTCACTGCGGTACGCGGGAAGGTTTGGGATCAGAAGATACTGGGTGAGGGAGGAGCAGTTCTCGAGTGAAGGTGATGGCCTTCTCTCTCTTCCACAGCCAGTACATCAAGGCCTGCAGGACAGGCAACATGGACCAGGCCATCTCCGTTTGGTTCCTGATGGGTTGGCTAGGCGGAGACTCCTGTAACCTCATTGGCTCTTTCCTCGCCAGTCAGCTACCTCTGCAGGTATCCCTTCATCTTTGGTCCTGAGATGACCTGGCAGCATGGGCAGGGATGAAATGTCCCTGGGTCCAGCCTTGTAGGGTGGGGGCATGGGGGAGGGGAGCCTGGGGTAAGAGCCCAGGGCTGGGAGGTCTGCCAAGGCCAATGATGACCTATGTGGGCCCCGATTTCCTCTTCTGGTTGTGCCAGTCTTTAAAGTCTAGGTCTTGAGGTGGAAAGTGCCAGGAATTCAGAGAGTTGGTGAAGACTTAAGTTCAGGTCCTTCTCTGGATACTTAATAGCTGTGTCCACCTTCTCAGGCCTCCCTTGTGTAAAACTTTGAGGCTTAGAAAGTCCTTTACTCACAACCACCCTGTGAAGGAGGTGGTGTAAATATTATTGTCTGCATTTTACAGATGAGTAAAGGGAGGTCCAGAGAGGGCAAGCAACTTACCCAGGGCCCCTTGGCAGAGTTCGGACTCAAACCTAGGCATCCTGATTCCAAGTGGATACCGAGGCAAATCATAGTTCCTTTCTTAATGTCAGGTGGGAAAAACCCATCTCTCTGCTGCCATCTTGGGGATCAGTCTGTACAAACTTAGCCAGGTTGGTCTCTGTACAATAGATGTACAGCTTGGCACTAGGCCCATGGTCCAAGCCTTCCCCATGTGCCCAGGCTTCCATTCCACCAACCTTCCCTTTGAGAGCCCAACATCATCCTTCCCCCCTTCCCCTCTCCCTGTGAGGGTGTCACTGAGGCTCAGAAACCTATCTGTGCCTTATAAATGAGAGTTAGTTGATGTCTTGGGTTTTTTGCAGACCTACACTGCCATCTACTATGTGCTGGCTGACCTCCTAATGATATCTCTCTACTTCTACTACAAGTTCAGAAACCGGCGCTCCTTAAGTGAGTGGTGGGTGGGGGAAGTGGGGACTGTTCTGCCATTTGAGGCCCCGACAGTGACTGGGAGGGAGAGAACCACACGGCCCATTCTCTGGGTCTAAAGGAGAAATTTCAAAGGCCCTCTCTGTGGTTTTGAGGTCTTCTATCTCCTAAGATAGGGAACTCTTGAGAAATCTACTTATTATAGATCTAGAGATCTACTTGTTGTAGATCTAATCCTCCAGGACCATCTGGGGCCCTCGCCTGGGGCTTCCTTTCCTGTTCCTTTCTTTTTTCTTTTTCTTTCTTGATTTTGATGTTCTCTGTGGGATTTGCTCTCTGATATAAGCCCCTCTCCCTGGCCTTGCTCTGTTCTGCCCAACACCACCCAGTTTCTTGATGAGATGAAACTCTCCCCCAACTCTTTTTTTTAAGTCTGCAGAATTTCAGTTTAAACACTCCCCAGCCTATCTTTTTTCAGTCTCCCAAATTTCCACTCAGAGGCGTGTCCCTTTGAAGTCCCGCTGCTCCCACCCACGTTCTCATCGAGCAGGTCGGAGGGACGAGGCCCAAATCTCTAATCCCCAGTCTTGTCTTGTGTGCAGTATCAGCCCCCATCAACGCAGTCTTCCTGTTCATCTCCTTTGGGGCAGTGTCAGCCAGCCCCCTCCTCCTGCAGCTCAGTCCCTCATCCCCACAGGAGGTCTTCCGGAGCAGGACGCTCCTGAATATAGAGCCCGCTGATAAAGTAAGTCCCAAGTGACGGGAGGGAGGTTAAGGGGAAATGACCTTTGATGGGGGAAGGGTTGGAGGGGTGGTGGGCACTCTGAGCCCAGGCAGTGTCTCTGGTCCACAATGAGCCGTGGAGCAGTGGGACTCCCTAAAAAGAGGTAGGTCAGTCAGGGGGCCCCCCCAACACCCAGAATGACTCCAGTCTGCCAAAAATAAAGCTTTACACTTGGAGTCAGATCCCAGCTCAAACTCACTTGTTGGGGAAATTACAGAATCGTAGACATAGGGCTGGCGGAGGTCTCGGAGAATATCTTGCCCGAGATCTGGAGGCGCAGATGACATGGTTCAAATCCTGGCTTCGTCACTTACTAGCCCTGTGACTCGGGCGAGTCTGGTGACCTCCCTGGGCTTTGGGGTAGATCTGGGGGCCTCTGAATTCCAGCCCCAGAGCTGGGATCTGATGAAATGTGAGTTTTTATTTGGGAATGTTAGGCCTCCTAACGTCTGGTTCTGTCTCCTTCCCTCTGCCCCAGCCCTTCACCAAGCAGGAGATCGTTGGCTTCACCATCGGCTCCATTTCCAGCGTGCTGTACTTGACGTCTCGTCTGCCCCAGATCTACACCAACGTAAGTGCCGTTGTGGGGAAGGGCCTTGCTGCCCCGGGACGCCACCTCTTGCCTTCTGTGTCCATCTGCGTGCTCTCCTTGTCCTCCAAAGCGCCCTTCCGTCTGCCGCTGGCTGTCTGGTCAGCTGTCTAGGCTGTCTTGCCAGGGGCGTGCTCCACTCCCAGGGAAGGGTGATCGTCAGAATCAGGTGGGGCCTCTTCACCGCCAGAGTGAGTCTGGGTCTACAAGGTGATAGCGTCCTCCCCCAGAACGGCCTTGACGTCTTCATGGCCTCAGAGACAGATGCTGGAGACCGGTTGGGACTGACTTGGGGAAGGACCGAGCTCTGGGGCCTGGGCCCAGTGGACTGGCTTCTTCCCAGTCTGTGCAGAGGGGCTCTAGTGGAGGTGGAAAGGGAGCCTGCTCTGGGGGCTGAGAGATTGGGAATCAGGTTCCTGGGCCCCACAGTCACTGAAAGCATCGGTTCCTTGCTGGATCTGTGGCTGCCCTTGGTTTAACTAGTGGGGAGACCCTTCCTCAGAGGGCACGAAGCCAGTTGGGTGGGCCCGGGCTTAGCTGGCCCCTTCTGCTCTTCCAGTTCCGGAGGAAGTCCACCCAGGGTATCTCCTACTCCCTCTTTGCCTTGGTGATCTTGGGCAACATGATGTACGGGCTGAGCGTGCTCCTGAAGAACCCCGAGGCCGGGCAGACCGAGAGCAGCTTCCTGCTCCACCACCTCCCCTGGCTCATCGGCAGCCTGGGCGTGCTGCTGCTGGACGTCATCGTATCCTTGAGCGTTAGCCGCTAGAGGCAGACGGGGTGGGGACCCTGGGGCCACGCGTGGGGGCGGCTGTTTGGTTCTGCTGAGAAGAGGCTAGCCACGACCATCATTCCCGCTGAGCCTCAGTTTCCCTTCTGTAAAATGGGGACGATAACGTGGACTGGCCTCCACGCAGGGCTGGTGTGAGCCAAGTGCTCTGTAAGCTATAAAACAACATGGAAATGTGAGCTCCTGAAAGGCAGTGTGGTATAGTGGGTGATGAGCAGCTGGCCCTGGGAGGCAGAGGGCCTTGAGTTCAAATCCCACATCTGACACATGCTGGCTGTGTGACCCTGGGCCGGGGATTTCACCTCTCAGAGCCCCCAGGAAACTTTCTAAGACTCTAAGCTACAGAGAAGGTGCCAGCCTGCCCTACAAAAAGGGAGTCTGTGCTATGCCAGTTTTAGATGGAGCATGAGACAGGCATGGGGAGAGGGAGCTGGCATGTGGAGCCGGTGCTTTAGGGAGCAAGCTAACCTCCATCTCATTTGCATAAATCATTACTGATCCAGGTAGCCTGTATCAAGTGCTAGGGGAGGGAAAGGGATCTTCTGACATGTATGGGCTGTGTAATCCAGGGCAAGTGGAGTTCAGCCTCTCTGGCCTCTTTCGGAGCACCTAACAGTAGAATGGAAGCTTCTTGAGGACAGGCACAGTTTTTGCCTTTCTCTGTGTCTTCAGCACTTAGCATGGAAGCTGGCTAAATGCCTTTTGACTCGCTAAGCCCTTGGCTGGTTGGGATTCTGGTGGGGGACGGGACAGGAAAGGCAACCAGTGAAATCACAGACTCTTCAACCTTCTCGTGTGAGTCTTTACAGAGTGCCCAGGCTTGTGCTGGGCCCTGTACAGGATGCTGCCCCCAAATTTACCTTCTTTTATGGAAGCAGAGGGGTATAAACCTCTGTGAAGTAAATACAGAGTGATTTTGGGGGGGAGGGAGAGAAGTACCATTCCCTGGGGAGGTGGATGAAAAGTTAAGCAACAGTCCCTCCCTTAGAGAGTTTGCAGTCAAATAGAGGACTGGGACATAGAAATAACTATAATGCTCATTGTTTCGTGATCACTGTATTTAGAGAGAGGTGTCAGTGAGGTGTTCTCTGAGGTTGTGGGGGGAATCTGGAAGGTTTTCCTGGAGGAGGTGATCTTTGACTTTTGCTGCAAAGGCTATTCAGGAGAAGAGGGGGGGAGGGGAGAAGCAGGGGACATTCCAGGATCTGAAGCTCCCAAGGTGGGGGATGGGGCGGAGCGCAGCCGGGAGCCAGGTGGGCCCTGCCCTGTGGCTATCCTTGACTTTGTCCTCCAGATCTCCATTCAGTTCCTCATCTATAGAAAGCAGCCCTCCTCCGCTGAGAGAGAGCCCCTGCTGGGCCAGGATCCCAGCTGATCGTGTGCCAAGGCCAAGACCAGGATGGCCAAAGGACCAGGCAGACACCGGGGCAAGGGGAGGAGCGTGGAAGGGAGATGGTGGTGCTGCCCACCCCTGGTCGGAATGGGTTTAGGTGCTAAGGAGGGAGCCAGGGCCAGCAGGGCAGAGGGGAGCCCTGAAACTCTCCTGTCTCTGGCTGTCGTCCTGCCTGAGACTTCTTCCAGCCTCTGTGAGTCTGCTCCCTTCCTTCTGTGAGCCAGGACTTGCCTTCCCAAGGACCAGACCCCACTGGCCCCCCAGCTTAGATCTTGGGCTCCCAGGCAGAGCAGCATGGGCAGGGATTTGGGGTCAGATCACCAGGATGTATCCCCTCGGGCCCTCCCTCGGCTGGGTTACACTCTCCCCAACCCCTGACCTCCCCAGGGGCTGGCCTCTGGTCCCCACAACTCAGCTAGCAGTTTCTCCTTCCCCTGTGTTTTACCCAGCACCAAATTTGCTAGTAAAATCCATCCAAATGGACAGCCCTTTGTTTGTATTTCTTATTCCAGCTGAGGTGGGGGGCATTTTGTCCCGAACCCTCTGTATGTCCCCTGCTGCTCTTGGGGGAAGAGAAAAAGCAAAGCTCTTCGGGCAGACTCTGGGATTGAAGTACCAGAACTCATGGGCAGGAGCTCAGTGGACTGCCAGCATGCAGGTGGCCAGCATGGCCGGGCTCCTGCAGATCGCCTCCTGTGAGCATCGTTTGTGGGTGTCATACCTGGAGGAGGAGGACTGGTCTGGGGAAAAGGGATTAGACTCTTTCTGTTTTGCCCTGAATAAGGGCCTTTCAGGCTATTTGAGGAATAAGGGATGCTTAGCTTTGGTGGAGAGAATAATTAGTAATAATAATAATAATAATAATAATAATAGCAATAGCTAACATTTCTGTAGTGCTTACTACAGGCCAGGCACTGATTTTACAAAGTACTTTACAGTAGTTTGAGAAGATTGAGCTGCCATGGGTCTGAAGGCCTGTCCTGTGGAAGACAGATTAGACTGGTTTGCTTGGCCCTGGAGGGTAAAATCCTGGAAGAAGCAGCAGATGAGAATTGCAGACAGGCAGAGAGATGGTGGTTGGACCCTGGGGAAAACATCCTGCCAATGACAACCATCCGTGATTGGAATGTGCTGCCTCAGGGGTCAGGGGCTCCCCCTCCCCAGAGAGCCTCCAGGAGAGGGAGGTTGGATAACCTTTATTCCCAGGAGGGGAGGTTGGGGTTCCTGCTCTCGATGGGCTGGACTGGGTGACCTCAGAGGCCAGTCCCCTCCAACTCAGATTCTGTAATGCCCCACTGGGGATCAGTGCTCTCCAGGGCCCTCCATCCACATCCTCCCTGAGACCCCAGGAAGCTTTAAGTGTGCTCAACAGAGAGATAAACAGGTCCTGGGCTCCATCAACCCCCAGTGGTCTGGGCAACAGGCCAGCTTGTCCCCAGCTTAGCTGGGCAGCTGGAAGTCACAGGGCTGTGTCCTGGGAGAGGGTTGAGACTTGTTCTCCTTGGCCCCAGAGGTCATCAGATCCAACCCCACCCCTCACTTCACAGATGAAATTGCAAAGAAGCAAACTGAGACATGCCCTTTAAAAAAAAAAAATTCTTCCTTGTGAGGAAATTCCCTCTATTTGGCTTCTTAACCTTAGGGTATTGCCTGGAGGGTTGAGGTATAGCTAATACGGAATTGTTACCCAATTTTTGGATTAGGACCCTGAGGCTCATAGAGATGAAGTATCCTGGGTCATGCTGGTCTGTGGGCTTCAATAAGCATCCACGGCAACATTAGAACTCTGATCTTTCTGGCTCCAAGCCCAGCCCTGTGGCTGCCCTCAAATGAATTGGGCTGCTAGACGTTTGAAGGGCTGTACAGAACAGGGATTAGTGGGGTTCCTCTCCCTGGAGGTCTTCAAGCAAAGGCCAGATGGGCCACCGCTTTCCAAGGGTTTTTTAGAGATAATTCCTGTTTGAGCACAGGTTAGACTCAATTGCCTTTGGGGTCTCCCCTCAGTTCTGATGACTCTTCTGCCCTCAGTAGGAAAGCTTAGGATCCTCTGTGGGATAAAGCAACATTTGTTCACAATGCTTGAGTTTTGCACTCCTTGGAGCTTGGAAAGTATCAATTAATCAAAAGTATTTACTAAACAGGGTCACCAGGCCTGGGTAGGCAAAGACAAAAATGAGACAATCCCTGCCTTCAAGGAGCTTATATTCCATTGTGGGGAAAAACTTCTATAGATAAATGCAGGATATGTACCAAAAAACAAACAAACAAAAGGCAGTGTGATATCCTGGTTAGAAGGCTGGCCTTTGAGCCAGGACAGCCTGGGTTCCAGTCTCACCTCCATCACCTCCTGGTTGTGTGGCCTGGGTCAAGAGACTTAAACACTCAGGGCTATAGCCAGCTCTCTGACTGTAGAGACTGAAGGGTGTATTGGCAAAGAGGCCAGTCCTCTCTGTCCTTATACCAAGAGGTGTAAGTGATAGCATTTGGGAATGAGGTCGCTGACAACTGGAATCAGAAAAGCTACCAAAGGAGGTGGCGCTAGAGCTGAGCCAGAGAATGTAGTGGGCAGACTCAGAGGATCCGGATCCGAGTTCTAACTCGTTAGCTGGCTGACCTTGGGAAAGTCACTTTGCTGCTATGGGCTTCAGTTTATTCCACTGTCAGCTGGCTGGGATTCCCTTCAAGCCCCAAGTCCTGTGACCTAGGTTATAAAAGCATTATCTCTGCAAGATAGGAAGGATGTCCACAAGATTTCATCTAAATTTGTAGATACGGCATAGACACCATCTGAGGTCTGGCTCCTCTCTGGAGCAGAGCCAAGGGTAGTCGGTGCCTCTTTGGCGAGTTTGGGGAGTGCCAGGCAGGCCCCAAGAGTTCAGTGAGGCTGGGCACTCTTTTCTCCAGTCTCTGAAAGGAGTATCTAGTAGAATTATATCTATCCCTTACCTATCTCGGGTCTAGAGAGGTAGGCCTGGAGTTGGAAGGAAATCTGCTTCGCTAGTTGAATTTTTTTTTTTTTGAGGCAGTTGAGGTTAAGTGACTTGTCCAGAGTCACACCGCTAGTAAGTATCTCAACTCAGGTCCTCCTGACTCCAGGGTCAATGCTCTACCACTATGCCCCTATCCCTAGTGGTTTTTTTTAAAGGGGATGGTGGCCTTTAGCTCCCACTCACCAATTAGCCCTTTCCTGACAAACACTAATTACACAAAAGACTATCACAAGTAGCAAGTAAAACCCACTTATTCGAGCAAAATGGCAAACAAACAGAAGTTATACGTATTAGAAGATAGCAAGGCATACACCAAAATAAATGAGCTTTTCATCAGGGAGGGAGAGGGCCCAATCTCGCTGGGGAGGTCCATGTGTAGCAGGCTCTAAGGAAGCAATCCTGAAATCAGGGCTAGACAGAAGAGGCGGCTTCCCTCACACACCTGCAGCTTCTGTCTCTGTGTGTCTCTCCCAGAGAGCATCTAGACCAACTTGGTAAGTGTCCTGGGCGCGTACAAAGCAGCTATGTCACTCTCAGGCTCCATAACATCTCCCCCATATGCCCATCACACAAAATGCCCCAGGCTCCCTTGGAAGCCTGGTTACAGACTGGCCGTTCAAAAGAAAAATATTAGGGACGGCTAGGTGGCGCAGTAGATAGAACTCTGGCCTTGGAGTCAGGAGGACCTGAGTTCAAATCCAGCCTCTGACACTTGAAACTTACTAGCTGTGTGACCCTGGGCAAGTCACTTAACCCCGATTACCTTACCCCCCCCCAAAAAATATTAGTTTTGCTAATCTGCTTTCTTCCCCATCTCCCCGCCTCCAATTACTTGTTACTGGGGGAGGCGCTGAGAGAGAAAAGAGGAAGAGGGATATTTGGAAATGAAGGTAATGTAAAAATAAGAGAAAAAATTCGCTCTCTCTGGCCCCAGAGCACAGAACTTAGAGCTTTGGGTGGAAGTGACCACCTGGCAAACTGAGGCTTGATATCAAGAAAGACTTAAATGACAGTGAAAGTTATCATGGAGGGAGAGGGGGTGGGCTCTCCCTCCCTCACTGGAGGACTCCATGCAAAGGCTAGATGACCACTTGTGGGGGATCTTTTGTAGGGGATGAAGGGCTGGATGGGGAACCAGGAAGGATGGGCTTCAAATATCACATCGGGCAAGTACTAGCTGAGTGGTCCCGGGCAAGTCATTTAATCTCTCCCCTCCTTGATTTTCTCATCTGTAAAATGGGAATAAAAGCATCTATCTCACAAGACTCTTATGGGGCCTGAATTAGATATGTAAAGAACATTGCAAACTTTAAAGCACACATACACACATGTATTTATAACACATGCATACATGCATCTATTACATCTCTACACGCATACATACATGTACACATATGTATACATATTTGTTTATACACACATATGTGTATGTATGTATGCATGTTGTGGATAGAGCACTGAACCTGGAGTCAGGAAGACCTGAGTTCAAATCCAGCCTAAAAAACTTAGTAGCTGTGTGATTCTGGGCAAGTGATTTAACAAGTGTCTGCCTCAGTTTCCTCCTCTGTAAAATGAGCATAACAATAGCACCTTCCTTCCAGGGTTTTTGCGAGGACAAAAATGAGATTATACTTGTGAAAGTGTCTTACCAACCCAAAGTGCTGTGTAAATGTTGGCCTGCTACATACTCTGTGTAAATGCTTGTTATCATTGTTGGAGTGGAGCCTTGATCAGGTGCGGGTTGGAGTAGGTGGACCTGAGGTCCCGTAAAACCGTGAGATTCTGGGATTCCCCGAGCAGGCGACCTCGAAATCCTGGGATCTTAGGACGTTCTGTTCCCTCTGGGGAAGAGAGCCCGACCTGCCTATCTGCTGATCCAGGAAGGGGCAAGCCCCATTCCGTGGGTGTGCGGGCTAGGCCACTAGAGGGCGCCACAGGCCCGGGTAAGCCAAGCCCTGGACACCCGGGCTGGGATCTGTGGGTCCCTCCCCGCGGCGAGCGCTCCAAGCTTGGTTTCCCACACGTGCAAAGGCTCTTCACAGAATTAAGAGCCGGGGGGGGGGGGGGCACCGGGGCGTGCCTGTAAGCCGACACTCCCCCTCCCCAGTTTGAGAAGGGCAGGAACTCCCGCTACTCGGAGCCCGGTGACCCCGAGCGAGTCATAATGGGCAGAGCCGCTCGGAGGTCATCTGGTCCAGGCACGCTCATTTTGTAGCTGAGTAAACCGAGTCTCAGAGACGTGAACTGACTTAGGGTACTGGAGCTGCACGGGACCTCAGACGCCATCCGGTCCGTTTTTACAGATGAGGAAACCGAGTCTCAGAAGTAATGTGGCTGTGATCACACAGTGGCAGAGGGAGGATTTGAACCCAGGACCACAGATTTTAAAGCTGGCATTTTTTCTGCTGTGCATTCTCTGAGCCTCATTTTCCTCATCTGTAAAACGAAGGGGCCGGATTAAATGAGCTCTCAAAACACTTTCAGCTCTAGATCCG